CCCTAATAAGCACATGTGACCTTTGGCAATAAAAATAATTTTGAAAGTTAAAATCTGTTCATAGACTTAACATTTTTTTTGAATTATTTTATTTAACTTTATTTATTTATTTATTTTAATTTGACCAGAGACGGGGAGAGAGAGAGAGAGAAGGTGAGAAAGCGAGTCTCTTGGTCTGGGACCTCAACTGTAGTCATGGTCGGCCATGTGGGAGTTCAGTGCACTGAACCACCATGCCACCTTTCAGCCCCTCGACTTTTTATAATATGTGTTTTCTGTGAACTTTCTAAGATTTCCCCCACCACCACCACCCTATTAACCATAGTCATAATACTGGGACAAGAACACTAGAACATTTTCTTCTTAACTTTGTACTCATTGACCAATCTCATCATATCCCTTGCCTGATATTCCCTAACCTCTGGTAACCACTGTTATATTCTTTATTTTTAATTGACAGAGGGCATGTGAACTTGTCAGAGAAACTAGGAGAAAGTACTTCTCAATGTAGTCATGTTTTAATTCCTTCTCTTTCATTTCTTCATTTTCTTGGGATGTGGGGCATACATGCACATGTACCTAGCGTGTTTTTCAAGCCCCTCCCCCCAGAGTTGGGATTTCAACTGTGGTCATCTATGTGGGATCCAACACTCTTGACCACTAAGATGTGGGGCTGGTCTTACTCTGTGCTTCTGTGAGGTCTACTTAGATTCGACATATGAATGAGATCATGTGGTATTTTTCTTTCTGTGCCTGGCTTATTTCACTCCAGGTTCATCCATGTTGCTGCAAATGACAGGGTTTTATTAATTTTTTTTATGGCTACTTAATATACCTTTTGCATATATGCCACATTTTCCTTATTTATTCATCCATCAATGGACACCTAGTTTGATTCTGTACTTTGGATTTTGTGAATAGTGCTAAAATGAAAATGAGAGGGCAGATATCTCTTCAACACACTAACCTCATTTTCTTTGCCAATATACCCAGCAGTGGGATTGTTGGATCATGTGGTAGTTTCATTTTTATAAGAACAGTATAGGAGGTTTTCTCCAATGTGTAGTACGCTAAGATATTTGATACTATGTGCAGACTTCAAAAAGTTCATGAAAAAAGTGGAATTAAAATAAGAACTTATTTTGTTGCAAAAATTTTTTAAATCCAGGCATAAATTTTTCATAATATGCATTTTCCACAAACTTTTTCAAGACACTTCTCCCCCCTTATATTGTTTGCTTGTAAGGACATGTTACTAAATGAGAGAAAAAGTACAAACATTTTTCTTATGATAAGAGACCGTTTATTATCCTAGTTGACTGAAGGTGTTTATGCTCAGATAGAGTGTAAAAATTTACTTTGCACATTTATATCAACTTCACTTTCTTAACAAATTTTATATGAGTTAGCAGTAAGCCACAAATTTTACTGCTTTGCATTTCTTCACTAATACCTGATAAAGTTTCAAACAGCAGTAGCAGTAGTTGTTGATAAAGAGAGATGAAGGAGGGACAGCAGGTGGTATAGAGGTTAAAGTGCTGGACTCCCATGTGGTTGACCACGGTTTGAGTCCCAGACCCAGTGGCTTGAAAGTCTCGCTGGATGCATGTGCTTGAGTGCCCAAAATTCTGACAGGAGAATGTAGGAGAGATGTGACGATCCACCCTGAGGGGCGATTTCTTGCTTTGTGTGTCTCTGTCTCTCACTATCTCTCTGGCAAGTGTGCACACACCCTATAGCAAAAATTTCTCCAAAAAATAAACAAATAAAAAAAGAGAGAGAGATGAAGTGAAAACAAGAATGTTCATTATGACATACACTATCTTGGGACAGTCTCCTATTAAGTAAATATACTGTGCGATGTTTGCTGTGTTGACCACTAGTCATACTGCACTCACCGACTGACTAATGTTCAATATAACCTCCAAGGACATGTGCAACTGGTCGATGTCTGCACCTTCAGCACCACTGGCAAGCTTCTTCGCTTTGGGTTCTCAGCCATGTTTGGCTTTGGTGGAAGAACTTTGGCTCTGGCAGAAAAATACCGATGGATGTCCCCGAACCAACGGAGAGATTTTGCTGTAGTTAAGGCACTGGCAAAACTTAAGTAAGTCTTTTTCTTAAAACCAAAGATTTCATATTCCAGGACCAATGACTATTAATACTGATTTTGTTATATTTTAGGCCAGAGGACTGTGAAATATCATTTTTACCATTTGACAACTCTCAAGATGTACAAGAAAAGTAGGTAAAAACTCAGGGTGGTACAGATATTTGTATTTTGCTTTGAAACATAAAACATTTTGGCATTCACAATTTATTAGACTTGTACAAGATCTTTGGCTATTTTTTTTTAACATACCAGTAAAGAATACAGAGTCATGAACTCTTACAGTTTCTAATAGTAAGCATGCCATCTAGTTTTTCTCTTCAGAAACAACAAACCACTTATTGATTCATTCAATAGCTGTGTGAGTGCTTATCACGTGCCAGACACTTTGGAGACAATGATGAGCCTAGAAATAAGCAAACAAATGCAATCCACAGTTTTGACCCTCATGAGAACTTTAGTCTAATGTGGAATAAAAATATTAATCATAGTTACAGTGGGAAGTGCTCTAGTCATTTAAAAAAATCAATCACCGTTCCTTACAGTACTATCCTAATTTTTTTTTTTTTGGGGGGGGAGGTTTTCGCTATAGGGCGCATGCGCTCACCAGACAGACAGAGAGAGACATAGAGACAGAAAGCGAGAAATCACCCCCCAGGGGGAATGGTCACGCCACAATCCCTTGTCCTCCATTCTCCTCTCGGGATCTTGGTCACTCACGCACACGCGCCTGGCGTGAGTTTTAAGCCACCGGGTCCTGGACGTGAACCGCGGTCGACTATGTGGGAGTTCAGCGACATAGCCATTATGCTAACTGCTGGTTCCCAGTACTATCCTATTTTGAAATGAACCAACATATTATAATGTAGGCAGTAACAAAATTGTTCACACTTTTACTTAGTCTAGAGAATCTAAGAAAATCGTAGAGATCCTATCTGTGATAGGTGCTCTAATTTTCTCATATTTAATAGATGCTTTTTTTGTGGTATGACATGTATTTGTTTGTTTGTTTTTGTTTACTTTTAGGACTGCACAGGGATCTCCCAAATCGGGTGAGTCTAAAAGTATCTCCTTGAGAACTAAACCAGACTATATTGACGATTTACTCTGGTGAGGGAAAATAACTCGTCACTTCCATTACCTTTAGGCTGTAATGATCAATGGAAAATGATCCAGGGTCATTTCTTGAATATTAGCATTATGGCAATTCCTTGCCTGTGTTCAGTGGCACCTGGAGGCTTGGCACCTAATACCAGGTTAGTAAGGTTTTTTTTTTTTTTAATTAAAAATTATTTTATTTAACTTATTTTATTTATTTATTTATTTATTTATTTATTTATTTATTTATTTATTTACATTTGACCAGAGAGGGAGAGAGAGTGAGAGAGAGGGAAAGCAAGAAAGTAAGCCACCAGGTCTGGGATTCAAACTTCAGTCAGACATGTGGGAGTCCAGAGCCCTTAATCACCACACTACCTGCTGGCCCCAGTGTGCATGTGTGTGTGTGTGTGTTTTGTTTTATTGACTCCTTGCATTGATACTTTTCTTAGAAACCTCTCCCCCACCTGCCCCCTTTTATAGTACTCAACTAACTCTTGGCTACCTAGAATATATTAAGAATTAGTCTCAAACCAGCAGATGGCACAGTAGTTACATTACTGGACTCCCACAAAGCCTACCATGGTTTGAGACCTGGACCATGTGGCTTTAAACTCATGCTGGATGTGCTCAAGATCCTGGAGGAGAATGGAAAAGAGACTGCGGCTTGTCCAACCTCCCTGGTGGGGGGGGGGCTATTTCTCACTTTCCCTTTTACTGTCTTTGTCTCTCTGGTGAAAGCATGTGCCCTAAGGCAAAAACCTTAAAAAAAAAAAAGTAGTAGTCTCTTTTTATATAATAGTAGAGATCTAAATGATTTGCCATCGTATAGATCGAGAACAATTGTTGAACTGGAAAAATAACCACATCCTCATTGACTTTTTAATGTCACTGAGGCTAAAGTAATATTCTCTGGGTTTTATTGCTACTTTGCTTGCTTTATTTGCTGTTTTACTATTTGTTGGACTATTATATTAAATTCTGGTATTTCTTGTGAATAGCTCTTTTAAATTTTAGTACAAGTATAAATGTCCTCATTATGAAAAGTATGCATACATATGTTTGATACATTTGGTCAAAGGAGACATTTCAGTTCTATTTACTGTGAATAGTGGTGCATATGAACACACTGTCCACATTTTCAATTGAAGAAATCACACTACGGTTTATATATCTCTCTATTTACGGGATATAGACATTCTTTCTCTAGCACATCCTTTTAAAGAAGCACATTATGGGGCTGAAACTATTTCTCTTTCAAATACAACCCTGTAAAATATAGAAGAAAGGATCATAAATGTTATGAAATGCAGCCACCTCTAGATTTTTCCAAGAAAAATGCCTTATGTACTTTGGCAATTGATATTATTTTAATGATGGGTTTCAACTTTTGTGCAAAATATTTAACTAGGATAATTAATAGCTAGAGTAAGTGACTGACTTTAAATTTCTTCCTTGGCCTGACAAACAGGTGGCTTGGTGGTTAAGGTGCTGGCCACTCCCACGTGGCCAACCATGGTTCAAGTCATGGACCTGGTAGCTTGTTTTCTAACTTCCTCTCTCTCTCTCTTTCTCTCTCTCTCTCTCTGTGTGTGTATGTGTGTGTGTGTCTGGTCAAATTAAAATAAATAAATGAATAAATTAAATTAAATAAATAATTCTTTAAAAAATGTCTTCCTTGGTAACTGATATGAAGGTAATAAACAGAACAATATACAAATTCGGGGAAATAGAAAGTATAAACATTTTGGGGGGGGGAGTTTTGTTTTTTTTTTTGCTATGGGACATGTGCGCTAGCCAGAAAGAGAGAGACAGAGAGAGAGAAAGCGAGAAACCACCCTCCGAGGGGATGGCCATGCTGTAATCCCTTCTCCTCCATTCTCCTCTCAGGATCTTGGGCACACATGCACATGCACCCAGCGTGAGTTTAAGCCACTGGGTTCGGAACTTGAAACATGGCCGACTACAAGGGAGTCTAGTGGTGTTGCCATTATGCTATCTGCTGGGCTCAAAAGTAGAAACTTTTAAAAACACAAATGGCAAGGTCCTTGCTAATTATCTCCAGTGTTGAAATTGGAGTGAAGTAGCTTGTTCAATTTACACATTGAACTTGGTTGTTCTTACCAAGCCCTTTCTTAATGAAGGTTCTTCCCCATTGAACATGAAGATGTGGCTAACTGACTGAGGAGCTATGTTCAGAAGGACTTGAGACAATGTTTATCTAGCCCCAGTTGCTTAAGGACTATTATGAGCCAGCTCTTCTGGTAGGGCTTTCTTGTTTGGTTTTTAAGAGACCGAGTCTCACTAGGTTGTCGAGCTTGGCCTTGAACTCATGACCCTCCTGCCTTGTCCTATCTGGGTTGTATTCCACCACACCCCACTTTTAGGTTAGACCAGAAGTCGAACCCAGGACTCCCAATGTTCCCAGCTTATGGAGCACAATGTCTTAGCCGTGCATCCACAGCGGGGCCATCTTCTGGGAGCTATAGATTCATGCTTCCTTCAAAACGACTCCATAAAATGTTCAGCTTGCCTGAAATTCTATTCCTGATTCTTCAGGTCTAATCAGTATTGATGAATTTGTCAAAGAACGATGATTAATTAGAGATTCTTTTGTGGATTCTAATAAAAATATGTCAGTTTTTCTTGTTTGTTTTTAATTTGCCAGAGGGCATGTGGGCTCACTGGAGAGAGACAGAGAGAAGAGTAGGAGAGCTTAGAAGTGAGAAAGCACCCTGCTCTCCAGTGGGGAATGGTCATGCCATAATCCTTCCTCCTCCATTTCTCCTTTGAGGATTTTGGACACACATGCACATGCCTGGTATGTTTTTCAAGTCACTAGGTCTGGACCTCAAGTAGCATATATGATATCCAGTCACTGCAATTACGATGACACTGGTCCAAAAGTTGCCATTTTTACAAAAACTCCCGGAGATTTTCAGAGATATAACTGAATGGTTGAGATAATTAGACAGGAGATTACACTTTCAGCCTGCACCAAAAATATAACTTATTTTGAAATACCTCAATAGAGGGGACAAGCAGTTAGCATAATGGCTATGTCACTGGGCTCCCATGTAGTCGACTGAGGTCTGCGTCCTGGACCCAGTGGCTTAAAACTCACGCCGGGCGCATGTGCGTGCGTGCCCAAGATCCCAGGAGGAGAAGGGAGGAGAAGGGATTGCGGTGTGGCCGTCCCCCCTGGGGGGTGATTTCTTGCTTTCTAGTTCTCTGTCTCTCTCTGTCTGTCTGGCAAGTGCACACGCCCTATAGCAAAAACCTCTCCAAAAAAAAAAAAGAAATACCTCAATAAAAATCAATAAGAATTAATATTTTTATATTCTAAATGTTCTTAGATTAACTGCATTAAAATATGTGAAGCATTTAGAATAGTGCTAGGCATATAAAGGGGTATTTAAATTACTAGTAAGTATTCAAAAACAGGCATTGGTAATGCTTTTCATGTTTATAAAATTACGCAGTTTAAAAAATAAGGATGCATACTCATCTTGCTGCTATTTATTTACTTGATAGAGGGCATGTGTGTTAGCCAGAGAGAGAGGGAGAGGAGAAAGCTCCTCCCATGGGGGAATGTTCATGCCACAATCCCTTCTCCTCTATCTGTCCCTTCGTTTGGGATTTTGGGCAAGCACGTGTACAACCAGCAACTTCTCAAGTTGCTGGATCTGGGATTGAAATGCAGGATAAGACATTTGGGATTCAGCTGTGTTAACCACTAGGCCATGGAGTCAGCCAGCTATTTATTTTTAGTTGAGAAAAGGCATAATGGATAGAATGAGTATTGGAACCTGAATATGAAGAGTCCGGAGGCTGGTGGTCATTATGCTTTTCTCTGTGTCTTTGAATGAATCACTTACATTTGGGATTGTCTTTTTCTTCTACTAAAATGAGTGAGTGATGAGATGATCTCTAAGATCCCTAACAGCCCTAATCTGAGCTTCTACAAGATTTAAGGAGCTCTTTTTTTCTGTCATTCTTAGAATAACTTCATGTTTGCACTGAAACTCACCTAGAAGTCATTTGCATGTATCTCCATAAATTGCCTTCTAAAGCTAGATGCATTGTGAGTGGCTGTTTTGGCGTTAGATCACACCTCTGAATTTTCCATTTCTTATATTGGATGGAACAGTCGTACAAGATTAAAATGCTTAAGCATTTAAACGAACATGTGTGGCTGCATTTGTTCACTGCATTTCATTCATCCAAGGGCCACTTTGATTTAGTTCATTTCCTATGTCATTTAGACCTTCTGCCCATGAATAAATATTTGAGTCACACTTTAGAGTTTAGAAAGTATTGAGCTATTTGTCATGCTGTTGCACATATTAACTAGTTTGTAATGCGTCTTTAACAAACATACATAGTTTCACATTTACAATTCCAAGTGATTACACTGGATTTTAAATTATGTCTTAATATATGAATAAGAGGCATGTTAGTTAGGCATGTTAGCCCTAATGTAAGAGCTTGCTGAGAAGGAAACTGACAGTTTGAAAAAACTAATTTGAAAGAATAATGTAGCAAAATATAGTTTAAGAATTTTATGTAAATTTAATGTGGCAATTATTTTATCCACCACTTCTAGTAAACAATATAGTTTGTTTTCTTTTTTTTTAAAGAGAGATTTTTGCTATAGGGTCAATGCTCTGACTGGAGAGACTGAGAAAGAGGGACAGAAAGTGAGAAATCACCTCCCCACAACCCCCCAGGGGTGATGGCTATGCCGCAGTCCCTTCTCCTTCATTCTGTTGGAATTTTGGACACACATGCACACATGCCTGGCATGAATTTCAATCCACCAGGTCCAGGATTCAAACTGCAGTCACATAGGAGTCCAGTGATGTAACTACTATGCCATCTACTGGTTTCAATAGAGTATTTTTTTAATGTAATCTCTTAGTAACCATCTAAATGTCAATTACAAATATTTAATTTCAGATTAAATAATGGAAGTATGGCTCTTATAATTGCACGAAACACTTCTCGGCAAGAATTTATAAAACACTTGAAAAGATATGCCAGTGTAAAAAATCAGGTATAGTCAATTCTTTTTGTTACTTATTTGCAAAGCTATTAATCATGGAAAGAGAGAAATGCTACAAGAGTTGACGTAAGTCTTGCATCACAAGAGGGCTTTATTTCCTTCTGAATACATTACTCTGTTTTTGTTTGTTTGTTTTTTCCCAACTGTGTTTCATCTTGACTTTGTAAAGTAGCCACCCCTATCAATGTGGACTGGACTTTTCTGAGCTGTGGATTAATGGTTATGTGTAATTATTTTTTCATAATGAGAAGACAGGAAATATAGTTTCATGTTAAAATGTTAGGTAAATTAAGGATAAACTGATATTGTTTATTGTTGTTCTTCAGAATGCCAAGTAGTGAAATCTGAGATTTAGCCTTTTTAATTTAATGGCAGCAGACTCTCTACAGTTATGGTCTTTTGATTTTTTCTGACATTTCTTTACAGATCTGCCCATGCTCATTGATTTGAAATAGATTTGCAGATAAAAATAGTTTAAGATATACCGCTTTTACATAGATATCATTTTATTAAACACTAGAATGTGTAGAGATACACAGTTCCACCTAAGCGATTTGGCTTAAAGAGAAATAGTAAGCATTACAAGTCATGTTCTTTTGGCAGATATTTTGAACAGTCATTAGGAAACTGATCGTAGATGTATGTGCATTTTTGAAATTGTGAGTCCTGATGTGCAGAGGTATGGCTGTAAAACCTTGTAGTCTTACACAGTCTTAAAGGTATAAAATACTGCATGGCAGTAGCTTTGAGAGAGCAGATGTGAGGATGAGGAGAGTAAATCCAGCCAGTGACTAGCAGCTGAATCTTGCTTGCATACCCCCATCATAGCAAGACTCTCAGTTTTTGTGTTATTATAATTTCAGACTTTCTCAGGCAGTCCTCATGAAGTTTGCATTGTCTCCTGCCCACTACTCCATTAGATCAATATTTGAGCAAACCAGACTGTTTAGGAAATTAAATTGTGAAAATTCAAGATAGTCCCAGTTTTCTTAAATATAAATCTCCAACGAGACAAAGTAGACAAGCAGACATAATGTAGATTGTGAGCCAAAATAATAACTTTATAGTGTGTCCTGGGGAAATACAGAGAATTACTGATTTTATCAAAGGAATGTATGCTTTTTCAGACTTAATGGAATTTTTAAACATTAAAAACAACTTTATTATTTCTCTTAATCCAAAATCAGTACAAACAGTAATAGGAAAACAATATAAAAAGCATTATAAATTCCAGGCCGCTAGAAATAATCAGTATCATTACTATGATATAAATGTTTCTTAATCCTTTTCTATTAAATAAATATGTAAGAACTTAAATGAGTTTTACCCTCATTAATATGCCCCTATTTGAGAACTTAAGTGACTTATTAATATGCCCATGAAAAGCTCTACATTTTGAGTCATCTATTGCATAAATTGTTTATAGAAAGTCTCTTTTAGAATTGCCTAAGGACTAAATTTCTAAGGCAATTTTTGTTGACATCCTTTTTATAAAACCATGAAAATAGCTTTCTTCTGATTTTAAAAGCAATGCTTATTTAAAATATAAAGATGAAGATATACAGATTGTAATACAAATAATATTCTATAGGAAAATAAATGTCTTCTTAAATGAGATCATGTTATGCAAGATATATTATAACCAATTTTTTCTATGTGTTCTACTAATCATATTTTACTTTTGATGTGACTATTGCCTGTGTAGACGTGTATGTGTGTTTCATTATGCTTAACTCTAATTTAGACTTAGCTATTTTCAGAAATTAAAGTCCATATTATTGCTTGGTAATTTTTTGCAAAGAAATTCTACAACATTTTGTATATGGTATATAGTGAGAATAATTAGATTGATACCGAAAGTGACTGCTTCTAAGAGATATTACTCTGACACATTTGTTAAAAATTATTAATACATGTGTACGCATGTGTCTTTTTCAGGTGATATTTTCAAAATGTAAATTTTGATAAATTACTTAAGATTATTGCTGTGATTTGAGTATCCCTATTGAAGCATGTTGGGAAGAGGGGCATAATGGGACATGTTTTGGATACGGGGCAGGATCCTTCATGAAGCATTTAAAGTACCCTCAGTTCTCCCAAATTAGTTCCTGTGAGAATAGGTGGTTATGAAGCTAGCTGGCAACCTGAAGTTTCTTCTCTCTTTGTAAGCACCTGCTGGATTTTTTGCCATGGGGTGAAGTAGCATGTGGCTCTCACCAGAGCAGAGGAGGCCAGGGTCATGCTTTTGGACCTTTCAGGCACCAGAATCATGAGCCAAATAAACTTCTTTTCTTTAGAAATCATCTAGTGTAGTATACTGGAATAGCCACATGATAAAGCTGCAGTAAAGACAAAGATCAGATAGACGAAAGAGTATATAAACTACTGTATACTTAGTAGCAGTGCTGGTATTCAGGACAGAAAATGTGTCACTTCAGTTTAAAGAGCAACATCTAGTTCTCTGAGCCATGCTTACTTGGGTGAACAAATGAATGAATGTTTATACGTGTCCGTGTGTGCACACGTGTGTTTGTGATATATCTACACTTGTAGAACAGGTTTAAAACCACCATTCATGGAGTGATTCCTGTTGTGGAGGGTAAAAATTACCCTTCAAAGTTCTTTCAGCTCCGTCCTATTGCTGATCCTCCTTTTCACTGTTCATACGTTTCTTGCTCACATTTACATTTTTGCTGTGGAGTTTAAAACCCTCGTATCTTAGGGCTTCCCCAGGAATTTGTTAGCAGCCCTCCTGTGTTGAGATACCCTTTCCCAGATGACCTCATTGACCCCCATTGTTCGAACTGTGTCCTGCACCACCAAGGCGCACGATAATTCTCTTCAGATCTTCAGGACTGTTAACCCTTCTTGTGTGCTACAAAGGTTCTAAAGTGCACAGGTACCTAGAGTCCAACGTGTCCATAGTGCACTTTATCTTTTCTCTAAAGCGCCTCCCTGCATGGTTCCCGATGCCGCTCAAGACACCGCTTCCCACCATCCTGGAGTAACTCTGGACACCTTCCTCCCTCTCATTTCTCACCATAGTCCACTAACCAGATATTTCACCTCTTAAATGTTCCCCAAATTGCTCTCTCATCTGAATTCAAACCTTAACCCTTCTTGCCTACCATAGCCTCCCGTCGCCTTCGGGTTTTCCTGTCTTATCATTCATATCTCATTTCAGAGATTTTTCGAAAGCATACATCTGATTTCTTTCTTAAATTCTCCAATGCCTTTCTCATTGTCATCACGATAGTATCTGATTCCCTCGGTAGGGAATCTACAGCCCTTTGTATTTTAATTCATATTTTTTATGCGTGCAATCACTGTATATTATTACAGCTTGTAAAATAAAATTTCCCAGCATGAAGATATTGTATATTCGTCCAGCAAAAAATATTATCATGCACAGTGTCGTCAACAGATAATTTAGAGCCCATCTATGTTGCAGCCTCACCTTTTCCTGCCCTCTACCAGATTCCCTGTGATTTGGTCAGTGTATTCTTATTATTTATTTATTTATTTTTGGAGAGGTTTTTGCTATAGGGCACGGGCACTTGCTAGCCAGACAGAGAGAGACAGAAAGCGAGAAATCACCCCCCAGTAGGGATGGCCATGCCACAATCCCTTCTTCATTTTCTTCTCGGGATCTTGGGTACACACGCACCTGTGCCCGGCGTTAGTTTTAAGTCACCAGGTCCAGGACATGAACTGCGGTCAACTACTTGGGAGTCCAGCCACATAGCCATTAAACTAACTGCTGGTCTCTGTATTATTTTTTTCTAGGGCTGCCGTAACAAATAACCACCAAATGGTAGGCTCGAACAACGAAAATTTCATTTTTTTCATAGTTCTGGGGACTAGAAGTTCAAGAAGGTGCTGGCAAATTTGATTTCTCCTGGGGCCTCTTTCTTTGACTTGTGCATAGCTATCTTCTCACTGTGTCCTTGCGTGTCATTCCTCTATGTGCATGCACACCAATGTTTCCATACGTCCAGATTTTCTCTTCTTATGAGGACATGAGTCATATCAGATTACCCTAAAGATCTCATTTTAACTTAATCATACCTTTAAAGATCTTTGAAAATGAAATGTTTATATTCTGAGGCACTGGGGATAAAGTTTCAACTGAGAAATTTGGGAGGGGTGGACATAATTCATCCCATAACCGTCACGTTGAATACTTTGCAGTTTCTAGGTCACGACATCTCTCTGCACTGTCAGATCTTCTCCACTGAGAACTTCCCACAGGCAAGTTCTCTGTGCTCTTTGAGTCATTTCAAATGGGAAGCTTTCCAAGCATCCTGGCTTTGTTTGCGTCTTCTTGTTTTGTCAGTTCAACTTGGTGCTTAAGCCATCATAGCACTTCTCTGTAGCCTTCCCTTCTCCATGCCCTAGACATACCCTCACACATGATCCTAAACTGTTGGTTCCCTAAAGTCCCATTTGACAAAGTCTGTGGTTTCATAGTTTTCATAGTTAATACATTTGAATGGATGGATAAAACCTTATCATATGAGGTACATATGTGAAAACTGATGATTTAAGATGATAGACTTCTCAACGGTGGATCTCAGTTCATGGCTGGCAGCTGCACCATTTGGTCTCGCTGTCATCACATGGCCTTTTCCTCTCTAATAGACTTCGGTCATATTATTATTATTATTTTGGAGATGTTTTCGTTATAGGGTGCATGCACTCGCCCGAAAAACAGAGAGAGACAGAGAGACAGAAAGCAAGAAATCACCCCCCAGGGGGGATGGCCATGCCACAATCCCTTCTCCATCCTCCTCTTGGGATCTTGGGCACGCACACGCGCCCAGCATGAGTTTAAGCCACCAGGTCCGAGACTTGAACTGCGGTCGACTACGTGGGAATCCAGTGACATAGCCATTACACTAACTGCTGGTCCCAGACTTCGGTCATATTGATTAGGGTCCACTCTAATGACCTCATCTTAATTTGAGAACATCTACAATGACCCTACTCTCAAATACAGTGACAGTTACAGGTACCAAGAGCTGCATTCCTAAATTCAGAATAGAATGCAACATACCTAAATTAGGAATGCAACTTATTTTTTATGGGGGGAGGACATAATTTAACTCATCATAACCAGTTACTAATAACTCATATAAAATATTTATGGTTTTTTTAAAGTTCATTTATGTATTCTACAAGTGAGAGAGAGATACAGCATTCCCAACAGGGTTCTAATGCCACACTCCATCCCCAGTCAACTTGAATCAGAGGCACATGCGAGCCCTGCACACTCAGGCAGGTCTCTGAATGCAAACTGTACTCTTCCCATGTAGTTCTGCCATGCAAAGCATTGAATTTTTACCACAGGACCACCACCTGGCCTCTAAAACAAATCATTACAATGAAGAATTATGTAGATGTTTCTACAAGTATGAAGCATGTACCCAAGGCTTTATACCTGAGGTGGAAGTTTTAGCACAACGCTGTCAGTTTCACAGAGAGCTGCCTAGGGCCCTCTAACTCTCCCTCAGTTAAGAGCAGCTGAGGCCACCATATAACCCACTGTGTAACTCAGTTTATTATACAGTTTATAAAGTGAAATTTGCTGAACCTTGGTTTCTACATATATAAAATAAAGGTAAGAAAAAATGTTTCCTATCAACATTTAAAATTCTGTGCTGTATTGAGATCTTTATGTGGAAGGGGGCAATGATATAGAAAATATAATAGTCAATCTCATGCCACTTAGCTGAAAACCGAAATGAGTAGTTATGATCCATTTCCACTAAAGTTATTTGGCTAACTTTTCAAAATTATTTCAGAGCATTTATAGCATTTTTTCTCTATAGATTCTTTTTACAAACAAGAAAAATTGCAATTTGCAATCTACCATTCTAGAATGCAAGCATATTATAATTATCTAGCAACTTGTGTCTGTACTTAAAGTGGATCTCAGGCAGACAAACACCTGTGGGAATCATATTTGATTAGCTTTCTCTATAAAGATATGTTTCATCTTCACAAATTTAGATGTCGCTTTTCTCATATTCCAAGTGTGAAACTTGTAACAAGTTTTTGCTTTATATTAGCTAATTGACAAGTTAACAGGTCCATGTATCATAAAAATATCTTGTATCAGTAGACTAGTATAGGCAGTCTTTAACTGAAACACATACAATATTGTTATCTAATGCAATTTTTTAAAGATATGTGCTATTTGTCGTAAAACAAGATTTCCAGCTGCTGGATTTAAATGAGCCAGGGAAGCTTCAGAAATAGGATTGTTAAAAAAAATAAAATAAACTTAAAAATTGAGAATCTGTAATCCTAAAATTGAAAAGTTATAAAGATGTCAGCAAAAATGTTGATATTTACTGTGAGACACAGCTAATGTTCATTATTCAAATTAGCAGAAATAAAGCAAGTATCCTCATGATTTGTGTTTGTTTCATTTAGTTCAATTTTCCATTTATTGAGACTTACACTGTTGAAGAAGTAAAAGTTATTCCTAGGAATAATGCTGGTGGATACAATCCAGATGAGGAGGATGGATCTCATGAAACTGCTTCAGAAAATAGTTTCCCTTGGAATATAGATGGTGATTTAATGGAAGTTTCATCAGAGGTCCATGTTAGGTAAGTAATTATTTCATCACATTACAGGTTGACAAATAGACACCAACCTCATAATGTAATAAAAGCCCTATTCTTTCAACTATCAAAATAGACTCAATGAAGGGAAAAAAATCAGGGAAGCATAAAAAGATAGATACGTAACTTTCAACAAATAAAAAAGTATAACTTAACATTTACCCACCATTATTTACTACCAAGACTTTTTCTTTGGTTAAGTATCTCTACATTGGCCTTCTAAAATTGTTGTCCTGTGTAAGCAACACAGATGAAACATGTCTACAATTTCTGTTTTCATTTTTTTTTTTTTTTGGAGAGATTTTCACTGTAGGGCGCGTGCGCTCGCCAGACAGACAGAGAGAGACATAGAGACAGAAAGCGAGAAATCACCCCCCAGGGGGATGGTCATGCCGCAATCCCTTCTCCTCCATTCTCCTCTCGGGATCTTGGGCACGCACGCACACGCGCCCGGCGTGAGTTTTAAGCCACCGGGTCCGGGACACGAACCGCGGTCGACTACGTGGGAATCCAGCGACATAGCCATTACGCTAACTGCTGGTTCCTGTTTTCATTTTTTTAAAATGGGTCAAGATCTTAAACCTTGGGAAGCCATTTGAGTATATTATTACAATGTAATCCTCCAGTATTTTCTCTCCCCTGAAGCTAATAATACAACACTGGTCAGCAGTTTGCTTTTATTAAATTTTTACAAAGAATTTGACTTACTTTACATAACAATTCTACATATTTAAGTAACAATAGCAAGTGGTATAAACAGGTTTTAGGACACGCAAACTCATTCTTGGTAAGCATTATAGAAAAAGTCTGCAGGGGTGCTGGTTAGATCCTAGTGTTTCTAAACTCAATGGACATTTGTACAGTGGCAATTGAGGACGCTAGTCAGTCAAGGAAGACAATTATGAAGGCCTTAGAGTAAATACTGGTGTTGCTTTATTGGGCATCCTATTTTCCAAACAGCAGCTCTGCCATGAAGGTATATTTTGCTGACTATCAAATGTCTTTGGTAATATCTACCACACTCATTAGGTGAATGTGTATATGTGAAAGAGAATAGAATGACAGTTTGATGAAATAACAAATTATACATCTTCTTCACAGATTGCATCCAAGGCTTATCAGTCTTTATGGAGGAAACGTGGAAGAAGTGAATGATTCAAAAGTAACATGTAATTGTTTATAAATGAACTCTGCAAACTAGAATGTTAATATGAAGGAACACAGTCATACGTTAAACAGATATCTGGATAGAACAAATCCTTGGCTTATTTTGTAAAATTTCTACATTGGATGTTATTAAAAGTTAGCTGCTGGGGAGATACAAATATAAATTATATCCAAAATAATTAAACTTCTCATTTTTAGAAGGCTATTTTTGAAACTGAAGATAAAGACTTTATATACTTGAGCTGGCTAGCACTTCCAGACACCAGGCGGCCTGCGGCTGCTGGCCCAATCACCCCGAACCTTCACACATCCTGACCCCTACTCCTCTTTGGACCTCGGGTTGGTTGCATGGGACTTTAAGATGAACTCGCACCCCACCCCACCCTACCTGCAAACCTGAGCCAGCTGGCCAGCAGTTCCAGACACCAGAAGGTCTGCGGCTGCAGGCCCATCTGCCCAGGACCTGTCACTCATCCTCTGACCCTTACCCACTTGTCTTTAGACTCTCTGCATTTTAGTGATTTGAGTAGCGTGCGGTGCACCTTTTGCACCACACTATTTCTTTTTTTGTTTTGTTTTTCTTTGCTCTTGAGGTGTTGCTTATATTATGTCAGTTGGAAGCTCACCACTCCTTAGAAACAGGGAGTAATTTGGGCCATCCAGGACTAGTGACAACAGTTAATGGTAATGGTGAGCAACAGGTAGGCCAACCATAAGAGAAATCATCAATTTTCTAATCCTGGACAACTTTTAATACTCAGAGATACCTTAAATAAGTTAGGAAGCAACATATAAATTACCTGATGACTAGAAACAATCGCAGAGGCTCAAAAAGTATGAGCAACCAACAAAAGGCCTCCCCCTCAAGGGAAATCATCAAGCCTACATCACCCACAGTCAATATAATGGATGTCATGGACATGTATGATAAGGAATTCAGAATATCGGTAGTGACCAAACTAACTAAGATGGAAAAGAAAAGAGACAAGGAACTCAGGAGATGAGGAAGTCCTTTATGATTTGAAAGAAGAAATGGTTACCTTAAATAAGAACCAGATGGAACTTCTCGGGTTGAAGAATGTGATACAGGAAATCAAAACCTCCCTTGAAAGTATTAAAAGTAGGTTAGATCAGTTGGAAGATCAAATCTCTAATGTAGAAGACAAAACATCTGACATAGAAAAAAGCATCAAGAAGATTGAGAAAACAACCATGAAAAATGAGGATAATATACGAGGAATACTGGATACCATCAAGCACCCCAACATCCGGATAATTGGTATCCCAGAAGAGGAAGAAAATAATAAGGGCCTAGATAATTTATTCCATGAAATCCTGGAAGAAAACTTTCCAAACCTAGAAAGGCATTCAAATATCCAGACCCAAGAAATACATAGGACCTTGAGTAGAATCAACCCAAGAAGATCCTCTCCAAGGCACATCATAGCCAGACTGGCAAAAACAACAGACAATGACGAGATACTAAATTTGGCAAGAGGAAAACGTCAAGTTACTTACAAAGGTCATCCCAACATAAGATCTCTTGGCAGAAACAATGCAGGCAAGGAAAGAATGGGGAGACATAGTCAAAGTGTTGAATGTAAAACAATTTCAACCAAGAATACTATACCTGGCAAGATTATCTTTCATATGGGAAAAAAGATAATAATCTTCTCGGATAAACAAAATTTGAACTAATTTACCAACTCCAGACTAGCTCTTCAAGTGGTTCTGAAGGGAGTACTATACCAGGAAAACTAAAAAGTCAGACAGACAGTTATATGAGAACAAAAAGCAACCAAGAAAATGGCTCACTTAACGATAGGATCAGGTACGGAAATATCGATAATTACATTGAATGTCAATGGATTAAATTCTCCAATTAAGAGACATAGACTGGCAAAATAGATAAAAACAAACAAACAAAAAACAGAAATGCTCTATCTGTTGTCTACAAGAAACTCACCTTATCGATAAAGACATACATAGACTAAAAGTAAAGGACTGGAAAAAGATATTCCATACAAATAGAACTCAAAAAAGGGCTGGAGTAGCAATAGTGATCTCAGACAAAATAGATTTCAAGACAAAGACTGTAAAAAGAGACAAAGAAGGGCATTATATAATAGTAAGTGGGGTAATCCAGCAAGAAGATATAACCCTTATAAATATCTATGCACCCAACTCAGGCGCACCTTAATACGTGAAGAAAAGACTGCTAGAGCTAAAAGGAGAGATAGAGAGAAATACTATAATTTTTGGAGATTTCAACACCCCATTGTCTACTTTAGACAGATCTTCTAGACAGAAAATAAATAGAGAGATACAGGACCTAAAAGATACTGTAAATCAAATGGGCTTGACAGATATCTATAGAACTTTCCACCCTACATCCACAACACATACATTTTTCTCACCCCGGCATGGAACCTTTTCAAAGATTGATCATATGTTAGGACAAAAATCAATCCTTTACAGATTCAAAGGCATAGAAATTGTATCCAGCATCTCCTCTGACCATGACGGAATTAAACTCAAGATTAATTTCAAGAAACAACCCCGAAAATA